TGGTGAAAAACTTAAACATTGAAAATATTCTGCCTACTCAACTGTTTTCTGAAAATTTAGGAAAGGCCACACCAGTCCAAGTTACAAACCAGCCAAGTTAGCATAATCTGAGGCAGATAAAGTAACCTGTTTCCTCTCCCCGTGAGGCCTGACACCCTCCCAGGCAGGGGCAGGCTGATCTTTACATCACAGCAGGTGAGTGCCTCTGGCAAAGGGGTAGACAGGCACAGATGGGTCTATGTGTGGTCCTTTGTGGCCTTCTGGAAACCTCTCTGTAAACCCGTGGTTGGCGGCTGACCTGGAAGCTCTCGGGCTTCTGCTGCTCTGTTGGATGCAGACAGGAGGGAGGCAACAAGGCAGGAGCAATGTAGTGAAGGGAAAAAATGGGCCTCCGTGACTGGTCCTAGGCCCCAGATCAGAGGAAGAAGGCAGCCCCAGGACCAGGGACAGAGGTACCAGGAGAAGGAAGGAGTTCAGTTTGGGGTGCACTGAGAACAAGTAAGCCAAACGCATAGGGAAACACTAGAGAGGAGGGTCATCGGAGAGAGGAGTCAGGCCCAGGCCCAGGGTGGAGGTGAGGGCAAGAGCACAAGAGTACCTAGTGAGAAGAAGGTCACTCCCACCAATCAAAGTGCCAGACTCCTGAAGAAGGGGGTCACACAGCCAGCACTAAGAAGACAGTGGTGCCAGGCCTCATGCTGCCTGAGAGAGCTACAGGTTCTCAGCCTGTCTGAGCCTTAGTTCCTCATTTGTAAAATGAGATGGTGATGGTACCTGCATCACAGGATGGCAGTGAAGACTGGATGAGGAGCAGCGCCGAGGAGCTCAGCCCTGGGCCTAGCACATATCACTCAGGCCAACACCCACCTCAGAACCCACCTCAGAACCTGGCATCGGACAGAGAGAAGGCAAACCCCAATAAATCGCCCAGAAAATGGGCAAAAGCCAGACATGAGAACCCAACCAAGTACAGAGGGAGAGAGGAACTGGGAGGGGTTGTGAGGTACCCGTCAGAATGGGGATGCTGCATACAGGCTGCTCCTTCATTTAGAACACACATCTAGTCAGTGCCTCTTGTGTGCAGGTCCCATGCTACTGTTGAGGACCCAGATGAGACATCAGGGTATACAGGCCAGAGGCATGTCTGACTCAGGAAAACGGTATGGAAAAGTGTTTGAAGACACCATATATTCTTGAAATTTGAACTGAGGACTGAAACCCACTTGCAGCCCGGTGAAAAGAGACATTTGGAATTGTCTAGTGAAAAGCCATGGAGCTGGGGGACAGGGCGAGCTCAGGCCCAGCTGCTGGGTCGCTGACATGGACCATAGCCCACACTCTGGCATCCTCCCCCCACAGGCACAGTACTAACATAGAAATAACCTGTAGGGCCCTAGCCAGTTTGGCTCAGTGGATAGAGCATCAGCTTGCGGACTGAAGAGTCCCAGGTTTAATTCTGGTCAAGGGCACATGCCCGGGTTGTGGGCTCAATCCCCAGTGGGGGGCATGCCGGAGGCAGCCAACCGATGATTCTCTCTCATCCTTGATGTTTCTCAATCTCTCTCCCTCTCCTCTCTGAAATCAATAAAAATATATTAAAAAAAGAAAACCTTTAAACACTTATTAAGACCCATATTTTAGAAAGAGAGAGAGAAAGAAAGAGAGAAAGAATGAACCAGCAGGTCCAAATATTACTGGCAGACCTCAGCGCTTTCCCGACTTTATCCATACCTGTCACAACTGTCTCACTCCTCCTGCTCATCGGACCTCCTTCTTCCCTCTCTGCGTGCCCCGGACTCAAAGGACATGAGCATCCTATATACTCAGCAGCTCCCACCAATACTGACCCCCCAATGAGCAAACAGAGAGACATGGAGTTATTCCTATTTTCAAGTCTTTCAAGATGTGGTCATATCAACTATATCGCATCTTATCGACCCTCAACATAGAGATCTGTGAGAGCGAAGGTGCAGAGGATAGAACTGTCTTGATCAGGACCTTCACCACCCTAGATAAAAGGGGTGGGCTATGCACCAGGGTGCACCCAGCATACTGCCTTGGGGACCCACAGCCTTGGAGCAGAGTCACATCAGGCAGTGCACTCAGGAACAGAAGCTGCTCACGGAACACTCTACTTTCCTGCCAGCTTCCACAACCCAGACTCCTGTCGCTTATGCTCTGGAGCATATTTCCCCAGCAGATGGCCTGGTAGAACCTCTATGCAAAGTGTTCTGCTCTGTCCAAGGAGAGCACAGCCTCTCCCTTAAAATTGCTGCTATGTATTAAGAAAAAAGTAAACCACCTGAGAAGAAGGTTTCCAACTCTACGGAAACCTACAAGCACAGTGCACATTAGCATCCCCAGAGTCCAAGAGCCACTGTGGGCTCCCACAAGGGTTGGCATGTTGGCACACAGGGCTCATCACTACTTCAGGTGCCAGTGCTGGAAAAGACTGTCTTGATGACTCACATGTTTATGAAGCTGGTGAGAGCGACGTGCACTCACATACATGTCTGAGGAACAAGCTAGACAAGACTTCAATGTGGGTAAATCATCTGGGTGGCCCAAGGAAGAGGGTTTAGTGACACACCTGTCACAGGCCATGTGTCATCTGCTCCTAGACAGAAGAACCATAAACGTTTAGGCTAAAAACAAAAAGCCTATAAACATGCTGAGGGCTTTTAGCAACAAAGGGGAAAAAGAAACACATGTATATCCTTTGTAAGAGGATCAGAAATAAAAAAAAACCAACACTCCTGAATATTACAACTTTTTCAAAGGAAAAATTCCCATGATGCTGAATCCTGAGAACCAGCAGCTCCAGAGCTTCCAAAACTCCCAACAGTCTCCTTTAGGAAGCCTTCAGGGGAGCAGAAAGAAGTATGCTCAGGCCACCAACTTCACCCTGATAAGAACAGTAGGCCTTGGGGTCAGTGAGCCAATGCACTGACCACAAAGACCCACTGTGCATGTCTTCGCTTCTAGGACCCTAGAAACAGGGGACAGGTACTCTGCCTTCTCCGCTTAATGCTATGGGGGACCCACAGCAACCTATGAGTGTGCCCTGGCCCTAACAGCACATACAACCTGTCTAAAAGTGGGCTTTCTTCTTGTTTTCTGGCAGATGGCCCTACACTGGACCAAACATCTCTGCTACCTCAGGCAGGTCTCCACACTTTACTCAGTCAGCATGTCATAGGAAATGTGGCAATGCCCTGCAATTTGACAGCGGGAACAGAAGGCAGTTCCTATCTCCCCAGCTAGTGGCTCTGTGTTCTCTGAATGCTCACTGCACCGGCTACAGTACCTGACGGTGGAGCCTAAGTTGACCCTCAGAAGTGCAAACCTATGTCCCAGGAAAATACTGCTGCCCCTAATGAAGCCCAAAGCCTCTCACACTCTTCGCATATACCACCAGCAGCCCAGGCGCAGGGCTCCAGGAAGCAACACTACCAACGGAAAAGCAACTCAACAGTAGCTGCCAAGTGTCCATTAAGGTGGCAGTGGCTGGTGAAGGGGCCTGCTAAAGCCCCAACGAAGGCCCTCCCTCTCCCACCCCGGTTGGGCCTCACACTTTTCCCCCCTCACCTAAAAACACACCCAGAGTTCCTCCTTTCTTGCCTTCCAGGTGTCTGTCTCCTCTAGGGCTGAAAGCATGTGCTTCGATGAATCTGGCACGGCTGCCCACTGCTGAAGCTGCTACAGCAGGAAGGGCATTCAGCCAGTCCAGGTAACCCAATCTTGACAAGTCCTAAATCGAAAGGGTGGGAAAAGCTGGGTCCACACTCTCAGCTGCGCACAGGCAAGCAATTTAGCAAAGAGCAAATGCTCAGAGCAGTCAGACAGGACTGACAAGAGCCCAAGAAATAAAGCAACAGAGAGTGTGGAGCGCAAGGACTTGAAGTAAAATTAGTTAGACAAGACAGAACTTCCTGAAGCACAAAAGGTCCTTGAAGAGACTGGATGATGACATACTCTAAGCAGAGTCCCTGCTTCTCCTATGGAAACACCCTGTGTGGCCTGGGACAAGGCCCCCACTGCAGAGGTGGAACTGGCTACACTGCTTCTTGGCCAAAATAACTTTGCTAAACACATAAATTAAGGGGAGCTCAGACAAGTGCTGGTGATGTGTATTTTAGTCACGCAACCAGAAATTTTAAAAGAAAATTTAATAATGCATTTTATTGTGCAACAAGGTGTTGATTCCCTGAGCACTGAGTAAACACTTCAAGGGAAAAGCCTGCCTTTGACTGCCACCCATTCCCCCGCCCCCTGCCCCATCTGTGCACACACTCCACAGGGTTGTGAGAAAACCCTGGCCATCCCCGGCACACCTTGTCATAGGTTCTCCACCGGGCCCTCATGAGAGCTCCGCCACTGGATGCGCCCCCCTTACATCCTTCCTCCAGCTCCTGCACATTTTTTCCACACACTTCCTAGGTCAGTTGCCACCCAGTAGCCACAAAGCTACTCGGTCATGAAAGCCCTTCTCCAAAGGCTCACAGCAAAATCTCAGCCTCCCATTAAGCCCTTAGCCTCTAAAAGGGCCTCAAGCTGACACTTAAAGGTGCCAAGCTGTAAGCTCAGGATCCAGCTGCTTTCTCCCCGCCTCGGGCCTCCATTAGAGTTGAAAATGGTGAGAAAGAAAACAGATTGCAAATTGCCACAGGCCTGCTCCTTGCCAGACAGTGTTAGGCTTTAACCACAGTGAAGAGATGAAGAAAGGCAAGGCGTTGATCCCTGCCTCTTAATTGCAGTCTAACCGGGTAGGGCAAATGGCTGGCTGGCGCAGTTCTCATTACAGACCCTACGTGACAGGAGGTGGCAGATCAAGTCCGCCTCCCAGGCCAGCTAACTGCTGTGGGGACTGCGTGGTGCTCACGCCGCCTCCAAGCAGCACTGGGCCCAGCAGGGCGAGCCCTGCCGAGTACCCTGAGCCCCTGCCGGGAGGGGACACGGAGCGGCTCCCCGAGGACAGGCCAGCGGCGGGGCCTCCTTACCGTTGCTGTAGGCGTACGGGGACTCGGCCGCGCCGTCCTGTAGGCTCTCCAGGATCTCGCCCTTGCCCACATCGCTGTCGCCCACCAGCAGGAACTTGAGGAGGTAGTCGTAGCTTTTGACCGGACTGCCCTGCGTCCCCATCCTCGCTCACGCGCGCGCAGGCCGCGCCCGCATGCCCACGGCGCCGGCCGCGGGAGCACGGCGGGGAGGAGGCCTTCGACAGATCTGCGGGGGTCGGGCGTGGGTGAGTGGGGAAAGGCGAGGCACGGTCTGCGAGGGCCCGACCGCCCCACTGCCTCACCGACCGCCCAGGACGCAGAGTCCAAGCGCGCCCGCCGCCCGCACCTGCTCCGCGGTCCGCCTCACCTCAGCGATGCCGCCGCCCCGCCGCTTCCCGCACCGCGCCGAGCAGCCCCGCCCCGCCCCCAGACCACACGCCGCCATTGGCCGCCCGCCTCCTGCCCGCCCTCATCGATTGGTGTGCATGCACGTCCTTCACGTACGCCCGCCCCCACCGTTTCCCACACATTGTAGCAAAGCCTCCGGTCACTCCTCCCCATCACCGCCCCATTCCACCTCTCTGCGATCTCCATTGGTCACCCACCGACCCTTTCCTGATATCATTGGTCTCTGTACACGTCTGTCATGGCTGCCCTCCCCCCTCCCCTCACCGTTCCCCACACAGAGTTGCGGAGATTTCAGCCGCCTCGCCTTCTCGCTGTCGCCATTGGACACTCGCCTCCCTCTTTCCAAGAATCACTGGTCTACCTGCACGTCAGTCAGCATCACTACAGGACCGGAGCGTCACGGAACCACCCGCAATCCCGCCCACTGCCCCCATCATACCTCACATTTGTCCCGCCCCTCCACGTCGTCATTGGACACCTCCGCTGATCCTCCCAGAGCCACTGGACCAACAGCACGTCGATCACGTTCCTCTAAACCCACCCCCTATTTCCCGCCCTCTTTACTACACACTCACCAATGAGGAGCTTGGAACTTCAGGTTGTTTGCATACGCCCCCTTCTTCCAATGGACCGGAGCTGGATGGTGGCGGTCCCCGGACTGAGGTGACGCGGCTGGGTCCGGGAGGACTAAACCCCCTAGTAATCTGCGGCCGGCTGCTTCCGCAGAGATCCCACAGAGCGCGGGTTGGCCCCCTGGAATTGCACTCGCGGAAGCCGCCCTCCCGTGGCGGGGCGTGACCTGGGCGGGCAAAAGCGGCCAATCAGCACTGGGGATCCTGGAGAGGTGGGACTTCCGCTGCCAAGTGGGTGGGCCCGAGGGGGGCGGTGGCTGGGCCTGGGAGGTGGGCGCGGCCCTTCCGTGTGGGTTCAGAGAGCTGACAGGCGGGTCCAGTCCGCGGCGTCTGTCCTTCGCAAGGTCGTAGGTCACAGCGCGTGGCTGGGAAGGTCTAACGTTCCAGAATCGGGGGCTCCGCGGGCGGGTGATAGCAGCACAGGCTCCAGCAGCGGAGTGACAGGACTCTGCCTCCACGTGCCCGGGCCTAGATGCTCAGCTGAGTTGGGGGTCAGCCCAGGTGAGGGACCCTGGAGGGCCCACGACTACGGAGGCTTCCAGGAGGAATTGACTTTGGGATTGTTTACCGATGGATGGGTAATTTTCCTAATGGACAAAGAAGTATGAGAAGCCTGTGAACATGTGTGGAGATGTTAATTTTCACTCTTCGAAATGAAAATTAAAGTAAAACAATACCCTTTTCACCCACCAGATTGGCAACATCGTTTGTGGGCCAGGATATGGGTGTGAGAATAAACAAGTAGTCTTGGGGAACAGCCCTCAGAGAGGGAGGTTGGACTGGCTAATGATTCTATCTGATTTAGCATGGAGAAATCCTCAGAAAGGAGCTCAAAGGATTTCACGGCAGCATTGCAGTGATGATGAAAGTCAGGAAACTGACGGAACTATTACATTAACCAGGTGAGCGGCATAAGGTGCAGATAGATAGCACCTACATGAGAAGAAAGCAAATGACTGCAGTATGCCCAGTGTAATTTCAACATTTATGCTTAATAAAACCTAGCCAATCATTTTCATTCTAGATTTACATATAGAGAAATGGAATGCTTGTGTAGGATTAGGTCTGGAGGGATACTCAACAAAGGGACAGCATTGTTTCCTCGGGGGTGACTTTCTCTGCATTTATGACATTTTTTTAATCCTCACCAGAGGATATGTTGTGTGTGTGTGTGTGTGTGTGTGTGTGTGTGTGTTTGGTTAATCCTCACCTGAGGATATATTTCCATTGATTTTCAGAAAGAGCGGAAGGGAGGGGGAGAGACACAGAGAGAGAAACATCGATGTGAGAGAGACACATTGATTGGTTGCCTCCCACACGTGCCCCGACCAGGGCCAGGACCAGGACCAGAGCTGCAACCGAGGTACATACCCTTGACCAGAATCAAACCTGGACTCTTCAGTCTTCAGACCAACACTCCACTGAGCCAAACTGGCTAGGGCTGGAGAATACGTTTTTATTGATTTTTAGAGAGAGAGGAAAGGAGAGAAAGAGAGAGAAACATCAATCTGACAGAGAAACATCAATTGGTTGCCTTCCATATGTGCCCTGACCGGGGAACCAACCCACAACCTTTTGGTGGACAGGATGATGCTCCATCCAACTGAGCCACGCCGTAGACAGGCTCCCAACCTACAAATGATGACCATTTTATGAGACCATATTCACATATGACATGTAATTTATAAGTAACTCAAAAAGTTAAGCATAAAAGTACCTTACAATGCAGCAATTCTACTCCTAGAGAAATGAAAACATGTCCACACAAAAATTTGTATATGAATGTTCACAGCAGCATAATTCACAATCATCAAAAGGTGGAAACAACCAAAACATCCATTAACAGATCAACGGATAAACAAAATGTGGTATTATCCACACAATGTCTATATTCATTTATAAAAAGGAATAAAGTACTGGGGGAAAAAAAGGAATAAGGTACCCATTTATGTGAAACTTCCAGAATAGGCAAATCCATAGACAAAGTAGATTAGTGGTTGCCAGAGCCTGAGGTAGGGAGATGTGGGGAACAACTGCTTAAGGGGGATGGATTTCTTTCTGGGGTGATAAAAATGTTCTAAAATTGGTGGTAGTTGGCCTGGCAGAGTGGCTTGGTGGTGGAGCATCGACCTATGAAACAGGTCACAGTTTGATTCCCAGTCAGGGCACATCCCCATGCCCAGGTTTCCAGCTAGATCCCCAGTAGGGGGTGTGCAGGAGGCAGCTGATTGAGGATTCTCTCTCATCATTGATGTTTCTATTTCTCTCTCCCTCTCCCTTCTCTGAAACCAATAAAACATATTAAAATAAAATTGGTGATAGTTGTACTACTTTGTAAAGTTACTACAAATAATTCAATTGTGCACTCAAAATGGGTTGACTTTATATGTAAAATATCCCTTAATACATGTTTAAACAAATAATAAAAGTTGTCAAAACAGAGCCAAGTGCAGCCCTTACTAGATCAGGCACAGAGTGGTGTGAGCTAGGGAGAAGCCACATGAGAGTTAGCGCTTCCTAAAAATCAGAACTGTGCAGAGGGAGCAACACAGCAACCAGGCCCCCGTGTGTTGCACCGAGGGCAGCCTGGCTAGCATGTCCTTCCAGCAGGCGAGGAATGGGCAGTAAGAACTTCCCTCCCAAGGGGTCACTGCATCCACGCCATGCCTTCAGTAGCAGGTGGACTTCACAGAGAGCAAACCCTTCCATGGGCAGCACCACTGAGTGACCCCCACCCCAAAGCCGCACAGCCTTTACTGGACTGAGCCCTGTGGATGCTGCCTTTTCATTTTGGCGTGGTGCCTGGGGAGGCTTCCCAAGGAGCAGGTCCCTCTGCTTGGTGGGCAGCCCCTGATGAGTGCCTGGGCCTTCCTCACTTGCCTTCAGTGAGTGGCTCTCTGGGGAAGCAGGAAGCGGGGACACTTGATGGCAGAGGCTAGCCAGGGGTGGGCAGGGCCACTAGGAACCCTGACGGTCCTGCTTGTGCGCTTCTTCAGGCCATGTCCCCTCCGCCAGAAATGGCTGTCCCTGGATTACAGCAGACACAGCCTCCCGTGTTTACAAAGAAGGCACATCCACCCACGCACACAGTGTTTACAGAAACAGCCAGCAGGCTGTCTTACTGGCCCTCAGCTGGTCAGAGGTGGGGGACTGGGTCGGCAGAAGGGACAGGGACTGAGCACTGACTGCTGCAGCACAGGGGGAGCCAGCAGCTAGTGCTTGTTCACCCTGGACCTCCACCTGGCAGGACAGGGAGGGCCCTTGGGGTCATCAGGCCAGGCATCACTGTGCCCAGCCTTGAGCCTGCCTCTCCCTTGCCCTGCCCATTCCCTGCTCTGAAGTCACCCAGTCCCCTCTCCAGAGACTGGATGCTCTGTAGATGAGAAGCTCTTATCACCTTTCCAGAGAATTTAAATCAAAAGCGCCTTTCTTACCGCTCAGGAACTCCCCTGAGGGGCTCCAGCAGCTGCAGGCCCTGCTGCCTGGCTCTCCGTCAGGACAAAATGCAGAAGTGGGCTCAGCATGCACATCTTCTGACTTGACCTTCCCCAGCAAGGCCTGTGGAGCAGGTGCAGCCATTCCTGCTTTGTAGGTTGGGAGCCTCTCCACGGGGTGATTCCGGAAGCAGGCCTAGGCGACCTGTCAGGGGCTTCAGGTCCTTGGCTGAGATCCTGCACCTCAGAACCCCCAGCCTCAGAACAAAAAGGTACCCATAGGGTCCAGTTGAGGAAGGATTGCCAGAGGGGTCCCACTATCTGGTGTCCAGGAGGCCTTGTGGACAGAGTAGCTGGCTTCCCCCTCAGCGGCATACTTTTGTGCAAGGACATCTGGGGCCCACTGAGTGCCAGGCCTGGCCTAGGGACTGAGGAAGGGACAGGACAGCACCCAACCATTGAGGGACCTCAGGCCAAGGATGAAGCAGATCTGTTTGCAGTCCTGGATCAGGCACCGCACGTTGGGTAGTTGAAGAGGCCCAGGAACTGTCTCCCCTGTGGTTCCCACACCCACTGGCTCTGGGCAGGATGGGCCCAGGCCTCCAGACCCAGCCTCTGTCCAGGTAGGGAGGGTGGGGAGAGAGGTCTAGGCTGCCTCTGCCCCTCCTCTCCAGGAGACCCACATTCCTCTCTGCTGTAGTCCAAGCCCTCCCCTTTGAGAAATATCTAGGGTTTAACCAATAGGGCAAGTAGACGTTGGTCCTGAAGCTCTGTACACAGGCTTTCTGGGAGCACCCACAAAGGTTTCAGTTGCTCTAGAAACCCTGGCCCAGGTTTGATGCTAAGGAGAGGCCCCACTAAAGTCCTCTAGGTGGACAGAGCCAAAAACCTCTCTGTGTACATCTGGCAAGAACCAGGCCTGACACCAGAGCGGTCACTCAGGAAATGGGCAGGTAGCCCAGCACCTGGCACAGAGGGTGACAGCTGCCAGGCTGGCCTGTGATGTGGCTACCATCTTGTAGTAGTCTGGGTCACATAGCGGGACCCTCACCTGACGGGAGCCCTGGCAGGAGTAAAGGGACAAAAGTGGCAAAGGATGAGCAGGTTGGCCAGAGAAAGTGGGGACATTTCAGCACCGTCCAGAAATGCAGTTGCGGGGCTGTTCTCAGCAGGCACTGGGGGCGCACTCCCTGCCCACCAGGACCCATGTGGGACCTCTGGGGTGAAGGTGCAGGACTGGGAGTTGCTGAGTGACTTTTCTGGGCCAGTCCCTTCCCTACACAGCCAAGACAACAGATGCAGAAGAGGCCACCTGAGGATTCCGGGAGGCTGTAGGACAGTCAGGGAGTGCCTGTGCAGAGTCCTCCAGTTTCAGGTGATGACATATTCATCAGAGCCAGGAGTCGCTCACCCCTCAACAGCAGGAAGGCCTGCACCCCGGCTGTGGGAGACCCATGCAAGGGCAAGGCTAAAACCAGAAAGCAAGTGGTCCTGGGTCCACCCACCCACACTGGGACATCTTTAAGGGCCAGAGCCTATACACCCACTCACCAGGCCTGCAGAGTCCTGCTCCCAGAGACAGGGTGCCCAGTGCCCCCATCTTGGCATCACCAGAAAAGGTGTGGTAGACATCTTAGAACAAATAATGGGAACCAGATGTCTGACGACCCCAGTAGAAGAAAGCCCCCCAGACCCATTGCACACAGGACATGAGAAGGCAGAGCATCACACTCAAACACATGAATCTTTAATGTCACATCAGAGAAAGACTGAGCCAGGATCTATCCCAGCAGATGCTGGGCTGGTGAGGACTTCCATAGGGGCCCCCACTGTGATTGGTACCCAAGGAGTGTAGGTGGCAGAAGTGGACAGTTCTGAGTGCCCACAATGGACAGGAAGTACTGCCCCCACCCCTACCCCCTGACTATGGCACGCGTGTGATGCCATATCTTCAGGTTTCCTCACTCTGGGGATTCTGTGGCTCACACCCACACAGATTCTGTAGCCAGCCGGCAGGCAGATGCAACCTCAGTGCCAGGACCCCACCCCAGGGGCTACAGAAGCATCTGCCCAGGAGCTGCCTGCTTCTGCAAGAAGCCAGTGAGGGGAGATGGAAGATTTGGCCAAAGGGGCTGTTCCTGCAGGGACACAGGGCAGGCATGTGGTAGGAACAGGGCAGCGGCTGGGTAGGCACTCAGCTTCTAGCAAGGCAGCTCCGAGCACCCCATATGGCCTGGCTTCACACAGGGATTCTCAAAGGCATGTGGTTGGCTCCTCCTGCAAAACAATCTCCCCAGGGAGCATCACAAGTAACACTGCAATTTAGGGCATGAGGAGCACTGCCATCCAACTTCCTGGAGGGTCCTGCCTCATTGGGGCTGTTGGTTTGAGCCAGGGGTGGTTGCTTGGATCCCTCATACTGGCCACTGCTCCACTGAGGCAGCTGGGAGGTGTCAGGGACAGAAAAACCCCCAAGGAAGGAGATGCTTGGGGGGCGGGGGGTCAGAGTCTCAGGAAGTGTTGAGTGCAACCTGGGGGAGTCCCTCCACCCATGCCAGAGCTGGACCACCAGAGAGCAGCCAGACCTGTCAGCTCACCCCACTGAGAAAGGAAATGGTGGGCAGAGGTGGGACTCTGCAAATCCCTCCTGGACAGGGTCTGGGTCTGAGGAGAGTCAGGGGGGTGGGGCTCCTGGGTAGACCTGGGGGGCGAGGGGCATTGGGCTAACAGTGCCATCACAACAGATTGGAAGTGCGTCCTGAGGCAAACAGAGCTCATTATGGAGTACAGGCCAGCTGACCAGGCTGGCCACCCCTATGACCTCAAATTCAACCTCATAGTTGGAAGGATATGACAGGCAAGGCCCAGTGGGGCCTGCAGTGGTCCCAGATGAACAGGGGGCAGGGAAGGTAGAATGCAGGCCCACATGCTACCTGACAGTCAACACCACCCTGGCAGGGTTGAGGGCTGACCATGTCGCGCAACGGTGCTGGGCAGGCTGGTGGCCGGGTACCTCAGTCCTGCTTGTCCCCTCTCTGCCTCCAGGGGTAGATGAGCTCCCCGAAGAACAGCTTGCGGCACAAGGAACCCCAGGAGTGTTTGGGGTGGCAGCCACAGCTGGGGAGGCGGTAGGTGTGTACCACACGATTGTAGGGCAGGGGGTTGATCTGGAAGCACAAGGGTAGCAGTCAGCCCCCAACTCCCTGGGGCTTGAGCTCTCTAGGCCTCAAAGCCCTCACAGGGGGTTGGGGGGTGTCCCTGGGGCCAGCTCTGTGCCAGATGTGCTCTTGCCTGTGGTCCATGGGGTAGGATGAGCAGCTTGCAGGGAATGACCTGTTCTGAGCAGGCTGCAGGGAGGAGAGTGGACTGGGCTGGCCGAGTGCAGACCCCTCCACCCCAGGACTCAGGGAACTCCCAGGAGCCTTCTCAGGGACACACCTCACAAGAGAAAACCACACAGGGCACTGGTTGCCTCCGCATCTGACCTCTCCCAGTGACCCTCAGGCCAACCCCACCAGCCTGGACCCAACACTGGTACCCAGTGAATCATCTGAGGGGGGGGTCATCTGGCAAGTAACCTGCTCCCTCCTGAAGGCCTGGGGCTTCAAGACTGTTTCAGGTAAGAGTCCAACAGAGAACAGATGTTCTGATGCCTTCACCAAATTTGTGCTGTTCTGCTTGGAACAAGAGCTTTTGGAGCCCAGGGCAGGACTCAGGGACCCATAGCCAAGTAGGCAGGAGCCCTAGACAGCCAAATGCATCTGACAGTGCAGGGGATCTTGTCCATGGGCCCTACTGGGGAAGGTTCCAGGCAGAGATGGTCACGGTGCAGAGAGGCCTTGGGGGTGGGAAAGTCTCCCTTTGGGCTGTACCCCTCAGCTCTGCTGGGCCCTCCTGCCTGTACCTTACCCTGGGCCCATGATGCTCTAAACCCAGGGCAGCAAAGAGGGGCCTGATCCCAGCTGCCCAGGAACATGGGCAGCATCATGGGGTAAGGAGAGGGATCTGTCCACAGACAGCAGTTGAGGGGTACGCAGAGGCCTTACCTGCATCAGGAGGCGGAGGGGCCTGCCAGCCTCATGCTCCAGGACTTGAAACTTCACGCCAGCTAGAAGGAGAGCAGGTGTTCCTGAGGACAGTGGCCTTCCAGGGCTCCCAGGGCCCAGAAGACAGCCGCCATCAGTCCTCCTCCTCTGTCAGCAGAGAAAGGCGTGGACAGAGGAGCTCTGGCGGTGGAGGCCCCTTCACTTCTGGGCGGCACTCTGAGGGCTGCCTGAGCTCATCTGCCCCGCCTGTCCTTCCCATATGCCTCTTTGAATGGGTTGCTGGGCCGATATCAAAGCTTCCTGCACAAATCCACTGAGGAAAAACTGAGTGTCTGGCTAGCAGTGGAGCACAGCCTGTGCTGTTTTCCAAATGAGACGTAGGTTTTCCCACAGAGCCAACGGGCACTTGCTGGGTGGCGGCCGTCCTACTGGCATCTAAATGTCTTCCAAATTCTATGTGTGTGGCCAACTGGGACCTACCATGCCCCTGGCCTACAGTTTGGACACCCACCCCTGGGCATTCCCAGGCCGAAGGTTTTTTGAAAAGAGAAATAGGAGCTAATTATTATTTGATGAAGAGGCCCAAGGCAAATTCAGGGAAGAAGAGAGGAGACAGCGGCATCTGGGGCCTTTAATGTGAAGTTAAAACAACTCTACTCTGGCAGTGAGCCAGGGTATGGGGGAGGAGGGTGCCAAGTCTTGGTCTCTCCACTTGTGTTGTCCTGGCATTCTGAGGTGTAGGCTGGGGGCTGAGTGAACCTGGCAGCACAGTAGGTGGGTCCCTAGCCTGGCCATCTGTAGGGAGAGCCTTGTACAGAGGGTTTAGGGCATCCAGCAGACAGACTTCAGGTCCGAAACCCGTGGAACACTCATATTCACATCCTCTGGCTCTGAGCTGGCTGAGAGCAGCCACAATGAGCTCTTGGGTGTGTCCCAAGCTGCCCAGCTACAAACTGGGGTCAGGGCCTCCTGGGCATTGTGGCCAACTTGGGGGCCCCATGAACAACTGCTGGACAGGGGCTGTGCTAGAAATCTCCAAGTGCCCTGTGTTCAAAGCCCCTACACCAACCCACAACCCTATGACCAACTGGTGGGGACAGCCTCCCCTTAGGGGCATGTGGCCAACCCAGTGGTTAGTATCAGCATAAAAATGGGCAGCCACTTGCACAAGGGATGGCCGGGGCAGCTGGGAGGAAGGGCGCTGAGTGGTCTGCTGGGTACCAGGTAGGAGTACATTCTAGTCACAAAGATCTGGCCAGCCCAGCATCTTCCGTCCTGGCACGTTGCCTCCAAAATTGAGAGTTACCAGCAGGCACACACAGCCCCACACAAACACACGAGTACATCTTCTCTGAGCCACATGCAGGTGCTACCTACACCACTGCGGACAGACTCAGGGCAGATATTCACACTTGTCATAGAAAAGGGTGAAAAAAGGAAGTATCACCCCTGTGGCCTCTGAAACCTGAGCACCAGCTGGGCCCTCTACCTCCAGCTCAGTGCAGGCAACTGGTCCAGCAGACGGCCTGGGACCAGGGGTCTCTGTCCTCCCTTCCCACCCACCCCACGCACACCACCGCTTCCAGGCAGGAGGCACACATGGTGCAGTTGGTGTTTCTGCAGGGCCCACAGGTGTGTGCCTGCCCACCCAGCACAAACCTACCTGAGAGTCTGTAGGGCCGGCAGAGCCGCAGGCCGAGCGCATACAGCGGCAGGGAGTTGATAAGGTCCACGAGCAGATGAATCAGACCCTGCACAGTGACCACCAGGAGCCGGAGCTGCAGCAGAGACAGTGCTCAGGGCCTCTGAGCCAGGATCATGGCCAGAGCAGAGCAGCCTGACGGGTTCTGGGCCACAGTGAAGGGTGACCAGGGACTCGAGAGCCTTGGGAGAGCATGTATCCCACTCTGAGGAGGGCACTAATCATGTACCAAACCTGAGACGCAAGCACAAGGAGGCAGGGAAGCAGAAGGCAGGAGAGGTTGGCCCTCCCACAAGGTCAGAAGAGATGGTGCTCTGATCCAGGGAAATGAATCACTGGCCCCTCGGCCCAGGTCACCTGGGTGCTGCTCCCCTCCTTCTGAGTCCCCACCACCACGCCAGACATGGGGAGACCACCACCATGACCTGCCCACCGTGGGTCCTGTCCTCCTTGTACCCAGCTAAGTGTCCCAGAGCGGTGGGTGACGGCCCCCAGGTAGAACCCCTATACACTCCAGGGCCCAGCACACACTGCCCAGAGAGCTTAGAACAGCCATACCCCATACGGCCTACAGCCGGCCCATAACTGCAGGCTGGCAGGCACATCTGGCAGTGACCAGTCTAAGCACTGTGGGCAAAGCCCCTCAGCCAGGTGCCATGCCCAGAGTCCCCCATAGCTCACCAGGGTGAACACCAGGTAGTACAGGGCCGTGGTGGGCAGCAGGAAGACCAGGATGGTGAACAGCAAAGTCCCAATGAACAGCTGCCAGGAGAAAGGCACCCTTGGCATCAGCTGGAGCTCACACTGGGGACAGCCCCCTGCTTCCCTCCCCACCAAGCCCACCCTATAACTGAGCAGAAAGGGGATGCCTGCTAGTAGGACACTGGCTTCCTGAGACAACTCACGAAAGCCTGCTGATGACAGCTCTCTCCAGCACTGGGGGGGAATGAATGCGTGCCCTCCAGACTCAGTGATGCATGGGAATTGGGGGCAGAGAGAGGACCAGCCAGTAAGGTGTACAGCCACATACACCGAAGACAAAGGGTTGTGAAAATCATGCAGAAAAAGACACGCCCTGGAGGGGAGCACTCAGGTTCCATGTGTTAGGTCTGAGCAAGCTAATGGGATGTCAGAACCAGGAACCCGCTGCCTGGGTCACCTCCAGCGTCCCGTGCCTAGGGTCATGTCTAGGGCCCACTGCCACGTCACTCCTAGTGCCTGCTGACCACTGACTCCCTAGGGCCCAGCAGCCTCTTGAGAGCAGGGTCCACCTCCCATGGGGATAAGGTTCTGCACTGCCTGAAGGCCCCACATGACCCTGCATCTTGCAGACTCCCCAGGTCCCCCGGGGTTGATGCCGTCCCTGTGGCAAGTGAGCTGCAGGACAGGAGCAGGCTGCCTCCTCATGGTGCCCAAGCAGCTGCACTGGCCAGGCCCATTTAGAGGGGTTGGCTGGACTGGAGCTGGGAGGTCACACTGGCCAGTTGAGGCCAGGGTGCACCATCCCCAGCATCCTGCTCAATACCTGGTCCAGGTCATAGGAGCAGGAGTCCACCCGCTGGCGCAGAACATTCCACTTCTTCCCTCGGAACAGGCGCCAGAGTGAGGAAAGGCCACAGATCTTCAGGCAGTACAGCCTGCAGGACATGGGCGCCATCAGGACTGGGTCTGGGTACTGCACCACCCCTGTAGCCACCCAGCCCCAGGGCCTGTCTGTGGTGCCCAGGGTATGGAGGGCTGCACTGGGCCAGCCTACTCGGGTGGGGAGCACACACCCACCTGGCACCATAGACATAGAAGCAGTAGATGTGGAAGGTGAGGAGGGCGATGATGTCCGACAGATGGACAGGGCAACTGTCAGGCCCAGGCAGGCTGAGAGGCCCATGTGCCACAGGATTCGCTCGATGAATGGGGACATGAGGTGGATGTAGCCTGGCAGGAGGGGGGTCAGCCCTGAGGGGGTGCTCAAGAAGGTCCTGGTCCCCCATAAGTCCTCACTGAGGATGGTGCCTGAGTCTTCTGGAAACTGTGAGTGACAGACTATGCCACTGGCCATCCCTCAGTAGACTAGCCAGCCTAGCACAGCTGGGCTCCACACACACTGGACGCCAGGAGGGCAGGAAGCAGGGACCAAGGGGATGGTGCCAGGCCTGGGCCCCACTGCCCTGCTCAACCAGGGCCTGTGTCCCTGAGGGCACAGGCTTTAGGAGCCAAGTCAGGGATCCCTGGGCAGTCCCATGGCCCACCCACCCCCAGCACTCACTGATCCATAGGTGGATGTGGTACAGGAAGAAGCGGCCCAGCACCTGGTCCAGTGCCCGGTTCATCTTGAGCCCGGCAGGTGCGCCCATCAGCCACTGCAGCAGGTGCTGCAGCTCCTCGGCCACCCACTGTGAGGACACAGGGGCATGCTGTCCACAAACTGGGCCAGCCCGTCTGTGCAGGCAGAGGTAGCCCGGGCCCCCTTCTCCAGGTGTCTGGACTGCCATCTTCTATCATGATGGGTACATGGGATTTCCCACACTTGTCTGGCCATGGAACCCCTCTTCACAGATATTCTGGGATTCGGGGCTGAGAGGCACAACCTATGATGCCAATAGTCTGTCCCTGGCCTTCTGGACAGGTAGCCCCTGATGGGAATCAACCTCAGAATAAAGCATCCTTGCCCCATCTCACCACTCTGACCACTATACCCACAGAAGCCCTTAGCCCCAGACTCCAGGATATGGGACAGACCCAGGCTCACTGTGAACCTTGCAGGGGGAGCCTGTGGGCCCACCCAGTCTTCCTCCACCAAGGACCCACCCACCACCAGCCACAGCAGAGGCCTGGGCCTGCTCTGGGTGGATGACCTCAGGTGAGGGAGAAGGTGTCCAGCCTGTCAGGGGCCCAGATAGCAGGTAGGAAGATGGGAGGGTCCCCTAAAGGGAAGGATACATGGGGACCCAGAGTCAAGATCAATGTCGAGTGAGGGCCAGAGACAGCACAGGGACCCTCACCAGCAAGCAATGAAGCTGACCAGTGAGTGTCCGGCTGCCCTAGGAGGAAAGCCAATGTCCGTGTGCCATGCCGGCTCCAGTGGGCAGGCCCTGAGGACTCTCAGCCAATGCTGTGGCCACAGTAGTGACATCCCTGCATCACAGTCAGAGGTATGCCACCACCACCATCCCTACCCCCAACCCCACCTGCCTTGCAGGCCTCTCCCAACCCTGTGTGAAGGCCTCAGCCATATCAGGAGCAGTGAGAAGGGGAACAGAACATTCTTTATAAATAGAGCTTATTTAATATTTAAAGGATAAGAGCTCGGCAGCAGGAAGAGGCTTTCATTTTTCAATTAAATATTTATATTTCTGAGCAGTTTCGCAGAAAGGGGGTCTAGGGTGAAGTTGGCCACAGGCAGAGCACAGAAGAGCAGGCAAAGTAGCCAAGCCTCTTTCCCAGCCCCCAGACTCTCCTTTCTCCTTCCTCTAAGCTGGGCCACTCTGAGAAGCCACGGACACTCAGCCTGGGAGGGCTCCTGCCCACAGAGTCCGGTCTGGCCACAGTAGGCCCAGTAAACAACCACGCTGGACGCTGATGATGGCCAGAGGAGGCTGAGCCCACAAGGGCCACCCAGTCAGGCCTCAGTCACAGAAGGTCCCTGAAGAGGCCGGTGTGTAGCTTAAGAGGCCAGAGGGATTGCCCTAACCAGGAAGCCAAGCTCCCAACAGAAGTGACAGGGTCTTTGGCTCTGAGGGAGGAAGGCAGAGAAGCTGAATGCAGCAGGGGGAACCCTATAAGGATGATGTGGCAGGGAGGAGGGGAGTAGCACCCGGGCCCCGGAAACATTGCCCAGATGTGCAGGGCAAGTCCAGCAGCATAGCAGATGAGCTGGTACCTCTGGCTCTCAGCATGGGAACTACAGAACCAACGCTGGGAGCGAGGTGACCACTGAAGGATGGGAGGCCAGAGCCCAACCGCGCACAGACAGCCCTGAACACACACAGGTTTTCATGATGCTGAGCATGCAGAGGTCCCAACCCAAAAGGCAGTCAGGAGAGCAGAAAGGCATGCACTGGGGGCGGCAACAGGAACACTAGGACACTGGGCCAGGCCCAGGGAGGTGGGCTCCCCCTAAAAGGCTTGACCACAAGGTGGCCCCCCACACACGGCCACCTTCAGGAAGAGAAGCAATCTGACCCAGCGTGGGAGGTGGGCACCTGGCAGATCCAAGTCTCCACGGCTCCTAGGGAACTGGTCTAGGGTCAGTGAGGATTGCTCTTGTGGCCACAAAACGTGGAGGGGAAGAGCTGCTCTAGCTGGTTGAGGGGCCTCTGCTGCCCCCAGGAAGGCCCCCCCCACCCCCCCGGAAACAGGGACTGGAGTCCAGGCCTGGCTCCACCCCATTCAACTCACATCAGCCACGGGAACAAGGGCATCAGCCAGCTGCCCAATGCGGTCTTTCCCATGGAGCCAGGACAACAGCGTGAGGCCTAGGGCCACGTCAAGGAGCACAGAGACAAGCGTGTTGGCCTTCCTGGAAGGAGGGGTCCAAAAGGAGTGGACGGTGAGGGCGGCCTGGCCAGAAAGGGTCAGTGAGGATGGGTCTGGTGCAGAGAAGGGGATGGGGAAGGGGCTTAGCCTATGGCACATCTGGCCGCTGCCGAGAAGACCCCGGGAAGGCCCCGAACCTCATCAGCTGGGAGGCATTCTCGGCCTTCTGGGTGCTGAAGATGAACGTGAGCTGCTCCAGCCGATGCCTGAGCTGCTCACACGTGGAGAGCTTGCTGCAGATGAAGGACAGTGGCCACAGCTTGAATACCCTGTGAAGGAGCAGAGATGGATGGGCCTTCAGCTCCTCCTGGGCTCTCCTGCCTGCCAGGGAGCAAGGGCTGCCTCAGTGTTACCAACACGCCTCACTGTGCAGACAGGAAGCCAGGCTCAGCCGGAGTCCCTGGTGGCACCAAACATCGATGGCCACACTGTGAACTCAGCAGGGCAGGAACACGGGTGGGAGGGCCCAGATAAGCAGCCCAGTGGGGCTCATGGCACATTCACAACCATTAACTGGGAGCCCGAGCATCTCACAAAGAGCTGATTCCAGGCCAAGTGCACCCGGAAGTGGAGAGAAAGCATGGTATTGTCACCCAGCGCCTTGCCGTGCTGGATGGGGGATCCTCGTCAAGGGTCTCTGGGCTGCCCTGGACTCCCAATGGGACTGACTTCTCTCCAGGCAAAGGAAGCACTGAGACGCTCCCACAGACATTCAAACATTGAGGGGACACGCTTGCAAGCAAAGATGAAGATAGTGCTGGGTTGCAACTCAGCCATGCCCAGAGCCCCTTTCCACTCACAACCTTGCTGCCGGCAGGGGAAGAGAAAGGGCTGGTGCACAATACAGAGCCACCAACAAGCAGCACTTGGACTCTTCAGAAGGAAGAGGTCCAACCTTGAAAGTTTAAAGGCTTCATCTCCAATCGATGAGCTATGACCAAATCCAAAAAATGAAAAAAATAATAAATTAAGAAATAAATAGCCCTAAGTGGTTTGGCTCAGTGGGATAGAGCATTGGCCTGCAGACTGGAGGGTCCTGGGTTTGTTTCCAGTCAAGGGCACATGCTCGGGTTGCGGGCTCGATCCCCAGTAGGGGCCGTACAGGAGGCAGCCGATCAATGATTCTCTCTCATCATTGATGTTTCTATCTCTATCTCTCTCTCGATTCCTCTCTGAAATCAATAAAACTATATTTTAAAAAAAAGATTTAAAAAAGGGAGAAAGAAATGAAACGCATTCAGCATACCTCCTGCCCCCTCCCCACCAACTCCAATCAAATGGAAGGTGGCCTCGCACTGTCTGCACAGACCCCTGCCTGCACAGCAGTCTCCCCAGGGTTCAGACCAGCCCTGGGCAGCCTAGGCCCCAACAGCACCCTGGGCCTGCCCTGGGGAAACAAGGGGCTTCACTACTGCACGGTGACGGCCATGACTCATCCATAACCACCACCAGTCCTTGACCAACATCTGACTGATGGGTTAATCCAAATTTGGGGCACATGAGTAGTCATTAACCTTTCTTGGGTCCTTTGAAAGCTGTTAAAAGCTAAGAACCTTCTCTCCCCAAAATTGTAGCTAGGCCCAGACATACTTTCACATACTTCATTCCAAGGGAATCATGAAGCTCTGAAACCCGCCATTCCCTGCAGCCTCCACAATCTAAGGCGTGTCCACACACAGTTGCCAAGGTCTCTCTGCCAGAACAGGCCCCTGTCCTGATGAGCAGGCAAGGTCAGTCCCCAAACCAGACAACTTAAACCCCTAGACCTAAGGGGAGGGGGTGCTCCCCCACCAGAGAGATGGCTTATCACAGCGAGAGGGGCCCCTACAGCCCAGCCAGAACTCCCTGGTGCTGCCCCACATTCCCCAGGGCCCTTAGGGGCTTTTATAAATCCCTTGGCCAGGCCTGCAGCCAGGAGTGTTCCAGGTGATTCCAGAGTGGCCAAGGCTGGAGACCACCACACCACACCCATGACTGTCAGTGAGTGGATACACCCCCACAGCCTCCAGGGCTGTCTCTCCTGCTGGTGGCGGGGACAGGGAAGTGGGCGGGCCTAATGTGTTTAGGACAGTGATGGCGAACCTTTTGAGCTCGGCGTGTCAGCATTTTGAAAAACCCTAACTTAACTCTGGTGCCGTGTCACATATAGAAATTTTTTGATATTTGCAACCATAGTAAAACAAAGACTTATATTTTTGATATTTATTTTATATATTTAAATGCCATTTAACAAAGAAAAATCAACCAAAAAAATGAGTTCGTGTGTCAGAGGTGATAGGTGTCATAGGTTCGCCATCACTGGTTTAGGAGGATGAATAACTCCCAGGCAGAGTACACAAGCTCTCAGCCAGCAACAACCCAGTCTGTCCATTGTCTCACCTCCCTCTCAAGGGCTGGAGCTGAGGTTCACCCAGTACCCCTACCCTGTGGGTCCTACGCAATCACTGAGGTTGCCAGGAAGCCTGGCTCTTCCTCAGGAGTGCGGGGCACCAGAACAGCAGCCACCACCAGGACGCCCTCTGAGATACCAGGAGAGGAAATACGGGAAAGCTGAAGTGTGGAGGACAGCCATGAGCCTCCGAGCGGCCCTGTCTGGGCCTTCACACTGAGGGGGTGGGCCTAGGACTTAGGAGTCTGACTCCTTCCTACCCTGGCCCCAGGGGTACCTACCGACAGGTGCTGGCAGCTGAGATGAGTGACAGCAGGTAGGCCATCAGCAGGCAGACGGGCCCCGAGGCCTGCTTGGCCAGCTCCACGAGAATGCTGGCCTCCACTCCCTCTGACTGCCAGTGGCTCAGCCGCACGAGGCCCTCATCAAACCGGTCACTTCGGAAGAGTGCCTCGCTTCGTGCCACTGTGTCGAAGACGGCAGCCAGGCCCCTAGTGCTGGCCGTGGCATCCCCAGCCTGGTGGTCAGGCAGGGCTGTGGGCGGGTGCAGCTGGGACAGCAGCACCTTGCGCTGATCATAGAAGATGAGCATGACTTGGTCTTCGCCGGGGGCACTAGGGGAGGTAGGCACCTGCCGGTGGGTGGCCTTGCAGCTCCAGAACTTGCTGCCCCGCTCCCGGCACAGCTGGAGCCAGGGCTCGTGGGAGAAGATGGCGCCCAGGCCCTCCAAGAAATGGCCCAGGCTCTCCTCGGGCTCCTGCCGACGGTGGCACCAGGTGCCCAGTACAGCCACGCCTACTCCGCTGGCCTGCTGCACCTGGGCCAAGAGCTCCTTGACCTGGATGGGGATGAAGGGAAAGTGCACCACGGCCAGGACCACAGCACTGTTCTGCTCGGGGACCCAGCGTCCAACCAGTAGGCCGCTGTCTGCTGAGGCACAGCACGTGGGAAAGAAAGCCTTCAGCACCATGCTGGGGACACTGGAAGAGAGGGGAGAGGCTCAGCTCAGAGCTGCTGCTGCCACCAACACCATGCCTCCATGGCCCCAGGGGGGCTGGTATCCCTGTAGCTATAGGCCATGGCCAATGTGTGGCACAAACACTCTGATGGGCCCAAAGCCCACTGGTTGGAGTAACCCAGTTTTGGGTTTGGCCATGGAGGCTGGTGGGGGGGTCCCTGGTTGTCCATCTCCCATGGGCGCTGCCCTCCCTCTGCCCTGGGCCAGTGGTTGGCAACTGTGGCTCACGAGCCATATGTGGCTCTTTGGCCCCTTGAGTGTGGCTCTTCCACAAAATACCAACTTCTGTGCATGGGCCACGAAGTTTCAATCCCACTGTACGTGCGCACCCGCACGTGGTATTTTGTGGAAGAGCCACACTCAAGGGGCCAAAGAGCCGCATGTGGCTCGCGAGCCGCAGTTTGCCGACCACTGCTGGGCTGTTGTGAGACAGGCCCCAAATCACCCCTCGTCCCCATCCCAAGGCAGGTCAATGCTTTCCCCCATTTCAGAGACAAGCAGGCAATTACATGACCTGCTCAGTACCACTCACAGGGGTTTCGAAGATAAACAAAAGGTTTTAACTTTTGTTTTTAAAGACACTGATTAGTTTTTTATGTGTAGCACATGGGAAAATGTAGTCTCATTAACAATTAAAGTAATGCAAATTAAAACTCTAAACAACCTTGATTTACTTACTAAGCTAGCAAGAATAAAGATGAACATTTCAACAAATTGCTGCTGGTGGCTGTGGGCACTGGTGCAGACACCCCAGAAGATGCCTAGAAATGTGCCTGGTAACCTGAGCCCACCCTCCTGCCCAGTGAGCCTCCTGGAGGAGCCTCAGTGCTCAGAGAACAGGTTCAGCTCTCACAGGGCTTCTGCCTGCACCTGACCCTCAAGCCTACAGCCATGCCCATCCTGCCCTGGGAGCCCCATCCACCCGCCACTTCAGGGAAGGGCTCCCAACAGGGGAGTGTTTCCTCTCGTCACAGCAGAGCACCTTCTTTGGGAAGTATTCTTCCAACCATGTGGCTATCACAAGTGGGGGTGGGAGTTCACTAGCCCTGGGGAACGGAAAGACACCATCTTCTCTCAGGAGGAGGGACCCCAGCCTTCCTGGCCTCTCACTACCCTCACATGGCCCCTGAGCAACAAGAACAGCCCCAAGTGGGAATTTTGTGGGACCCTGAGCCTTAACTTGCCCAGAAGCAAGCTCACTGGGGATGAGGGTTTCTCAGCAATCACCTCGTTCTTCCACCTGAGCCCCTCCCAGATGGGGCCTGACCCAGCAGGACCTCCCCCAGCATGGACTGAGGGCATTCATACTGAGGTGTGCCCTTTCTCAGACACTGGTGGCCCCCGCCTCATCGGCATAAAGGGCAGAGCAGCCACCCTGAGCTAAGACCCCCAAGTTGGAGCCCATACTGGAGGGAGAAGACACAGGCCTTGGACTGAGCCTGGGGCTCCCCAGGCCCTCGGGGATAAGGGGAAGAGAGACACACACACGTTGGGGCAGTGTGACACTGGGAGGCACAGGGAGCCTTTTCCTGAGGACCAGGGGGCCCTGGGGGGCCTCACACAGACACAAATGCCCAGGGTTTCAGAGGCCACTGATGCAGCTGCTCTTCTCCCCTGCAGGTAGCCCAGCTTGGGACTGGAGGGCCGAGGCCTCTCCCAGCCAGCTTGTGAAAAGGGCCTCTCACAGCTACGGGCTCCAGCTGAAAGGGCCTCTTTGAGTCCAAAGGCCCCTCCCCCAGTGACCAGGGAGGGCAGGCAACAGTGTAGCCGCCTGGAGCCAGATCCCCGTGGCCATCATCCAGGGCATCCAGAGCCAACTGGTCTTCCTGAGCCTTCTGCAGGGACTGCCCTCCTGAGAGGACAGAGCGATTCTGCCTGTGAGGGACCCGGTGTGTCTGGCTTGACAACTACCCCGGGGGACCAGCCAGCACAGTCCAAACCTCAGTGCCAGCCTGTCAGGACACACCAGCTCAGCCAAATGCCACCATCACAGCCTTCGTGGGGACGGCTTTCCCAGGAGCTAAGGAAAACTGCTCCTTTGGGAAGTATTGTTCCAACCAGGTGGCCACTTACAAGTGGGGGTGGGGGGTTCACAGTAGAAGCAGCAGCACAACTGGCCCAATGGCGGACAGGTGCTCTGAGGGAAACTGACTACACGGTATGTTCACTGTGGGAAAATCTGTCGCCTTGTACACATTGTGCTTCATCTACAAAGTTTACCGGGGAAAAAAAGAAAGAAAGAAAGAAAAAAGCAGCAGCTCCTCATGTCTAAGAAAGAGCAGAGAGCAGAAGTTGATGTTCTTATCCGTGGGGCAGTGAGAAAGAACTCTTAACAGATTATGGAGCAAATTCCCATCCCTGCTCCCACCTCAGCCTCTGGGAGTGAGGAGCACAAAGAAGTCTGCTCAGATCAGACAGCCAGGAAGAGATGAAAGAGCAGGCGATCGATAGCAGAGGTGCAGATTCGGAGCAAGCACGGCGGTAACTTGGGCAACAAGCATGCACACCTTTAAAGACTAATAAAAAAAACACACCCCACAAACAACAAAAACAAGGGCCCATACCTAGAAAAGCCTCCCCTGTTAGAAATGGCACCAAGTTCCCTTGTGAAACAGTCCATTCCCAGATCAGCCAGGATCTCTGGGACGCTTGCCCCACGGAACCGGAGGCCAGTCTACCTGATGAGGTACAGCTGCACTCCCCTCCCTCATCCTTTGCACAACTGATTCCAGGACAAAGCCCGGGTATGGCTGGTCAGGGGCATCTCGCTGGTGTAGTGGTTCTCAACCTTCCTAATGCTGAGACCCTTTAATACAGTTCCTCATGTTGTGGTGACCCCCAATTTCATTGTTACAAATTGAACATAATTAAAGCATAGTGATTAATCACAAAAACAATATGTAATTATATATGTGCTTCCCGATGGTCTTAGGCGACCCCTGTGAAAGGGTCGTTCGACCCCCGAAAGGGGTCGCGACCACAGGTTGAGAACCGCTGCGTGCAACCAACCCTCCTCCGAGAAGCCTCCCAGGCACGGCTCCTCAATAGCTCACAAGAACTAGTTTTTACCCCATGTTGTTTGTGTTTTTAAAAAAATGCATTTCCCATGTTTTGTGAACAGTGCCTTTCCCCCTCTGGTTCAGAAGCATGGCCATGAATCTAGGATTCTGTTGTTCGCCCTTCACTGCAGTCAGGGACCGATACAAAGTGCTGACAGCCCGTGTCCCTGACCCTGAATGCCCTTCCCCAGGGTCCACAGCCAGACCCAGGCTGGGTGGGTCAGCAGCGGGAACGCCTGGCCCGGCGCCCTTCACCCCACAGGGTGCTGGGCCGAGCCTCCCCACCAAGAGCACCCACAGGGCCCGGTCACAATCCGCCCGGCGCTCGCTGCCCTCCTGGCCGGTGGCGGCCCCGTTTTACTGATGCTGAAACAGAGGCTCCGAGTGGCAAGAGGGCTGCGCCGGCCCGGGGGGAAGGCTTCGGGGGACCCTTTCCGCTCCTTCGCCGGCGCCTGGTCCCGCCGCGACCGGGGAGTTGGGGTCCACAGCCCCGGGCCTGGGGCCGTGGGAAGGCGGGGGGGCTCCCCAAGGTCACACCGCACGGACGTCAGCCCTCCCCGCGAATGCTCACCGGCTGCTCCCGAGAGCCGTGCCCTCGGGCGATGGGTGCGGGATGAGGTTGGGGATGGCGTTGGGCGGGCCAGAGCGGACGACAGCAGCCGCAGTGCCAGCCCCGCTGTGGCGGTGCCTCGGGACACGAGCCCCATTTCCGCCGGCTCCCAACGTTGCCGCGCGACGGTCCGGCCCCCAAAGGCGCTCGGGCTGCCCGCCGGCCTTGCCCGAGCGTTCCGCGCAGGCAACGTTCCTGGCCCCGGAGCCCGGGGCAGGCGCGCGTAGTTTCCTTGTTTTTCCTTCCTCGCAGCGTCCTTGTTCCCCCCCGCCCCAGCCTCCTTGCTCCCCACCCCGCAGCGTCCTTGTCCCTCCCTGCAGCATCCTGTGGCCCCCAACAGTGTCTTTGTGCCCCCCTCAGCGCCTTGTGCCCCCTCCAATTCGTCTGCAGCACCCCAACACCCCTGCCTTCCAATCCCTCCACCTTCCCACAGTGGCTGAACCTCCCCGGGTTTCCTCATCTGAGGGACCCAGGCTTTTGAAGGTCCCCCACCCTCCCAGGTGAAAGGACACCTATGCCCTATGTTTAATTCCAGAAAGAGCTGCCTCCCCACCCCAGGCCGGCCCCTCCGAACACTGGTTTCTCACCCACCCCACACCCGCCCCAGAGACAGGTGGGCTAGGAAGTTGTTGGCCCCGGGAGGACCAGCCAGAGGCTTCAGGCATCTGATCTGATCGTCAGGAGTGGGCCTTGCCTCTTCTGCTCTGGGGTATAATACCCTAACACCAGGAGCAACAACTACCGAGCACCTTCTGCATACGTTTTACATTGACCCATTTAATGCCCCTGCCCACAGGGCTTGGGAGGTATGGAGGGAACCTTATCAGAGGTGAATGGACTAAAAACTACAGACCCCAATATCCTGGTGATAAACAGGAGCACCCCATCATCGGCCTTCAGGAGCAGGACCAGGCACTGTCCCCTCCCCCTGAAGACCTCTTGCTGGCACTAGGAGCCTGTCTGGGCATCAGACTCAGTCACCCGCACTTTCCCACCGTTTTGGGGACTCCTTTCCCTGCTGTTTTTAAGTAGCAGGAATCTGTCTTCATAGGGAAGGCTATCCTTGACTTGACCACTGCCTGGAACCCTCCCAGCACCTCCACCCAGGGACTTGGAGCTGTTTGGTCCTGGTTTACAGAGGAGAAAACGAATGATCAGACAGCCTGTGAGATAGTGTCACATGGGAGAAGGGGCCAGGGCCATGAAGACTCCCAGTCCATCCATGTGACACCCAGGGTAGCCCCTCCTCTGCCGCCCCCTTACCTCGGCTGGGCCACGAGAGGCTGCAGGAGACTCGGAACCTGGGGCGTCTCTGAGGATGGGGATTATGAGGAGCCACACCCCTGTCCAGGCCACCCAGCCCAGCTGCACCCTCCCTGCCTGCCTGTGACTGATTAGGAGACCGGGACTGGGGCATCTGGTGGGAGATCCTGCCTGGATAAGTGCTGGCAGCTTGTCCAACACGCCAAAGATCTCCAGGCTTCAGCTGCTGGTCCCACAGCTCAGGCCTCCTGGGCCCCGAGCCAGGGCCTGAGTGGACATGGGAGTGGTGAGCGCTGGGGCATGAAGCAGACCCAACTTTGGAGGCTGGGAGGCAGTTGATCTGTGGCTGCTGACAAAGTCTGAATTCTCTCCCAGAGAAGACAGGAGGCCAGCCCAGGGCCTGGCCCACTAGGTGCTCAGCAAATGTGCAGGATCAGGAAGATATGGCTGGTGGTGCTGGAGGACTCTGCCTCTCATGGTGATCTGGAGGCCTGAGGGCTGGACCCATGCACAGTGAGGGGGCTGCTGCCATCTGAGCCCTCCTGGTCAGGGCAGCTACGGGTGTTACATGTAGCTGGCCCCTGCGTCCATCAACATGAGCTGGCTCTGGGGCACAGAGGCCATGCCTGAGGGCTTCCCCAGCCCCTCGAACACCATGCAGAAGGGTGTCCTAGCCCAAGGGAAAGGGCCAGCCTGACACTGCTGCTTGTCTGCCACAATAGCATTACCCTCTGAGTCAGTGGCCACACCCAACAGGCTGCCAAAGCCGTGGCCCGTCAGGCCCCCCAGGGAGCCCAGTGGCTGGCAGGCACTTCGACAAAAAGCCCCTGTAGACCCCAGGCCCACCCAGCAGGGCCCCTCCAGACCCAGCCTGGAGGCTGGGACCAGCAGCTCCAAAGTGGGTCCCAATGTGAAGCTCTGTACAGCTCCAGGCACGTAGTCTGTTACCAGGAAGGGCATCCACAGCCAGCCCCCGAGGGGCCAGGAAGTGCCCACCATCACCCAGTTCCGCGGGCACTTGGGAAGTGTGCTGGAGTGTGTGGACAGCCCTGTGGACAAGTTCACTGACCACCATGAGTGCAACAGCTGTCACAGCCACATCCTCTGGCACGAAGTCCCTGAACCCTGGCACCCGGCAGGACAGGTAGCAGCAGAGTCCCTCAAGGCCCGGCACATAGATGCAGGGAGCAGGCCACCCAGGGAGCAGTGCAGACCCTGGGCCCCCTTCAGCCCCGCAGGCACCGGGATCTGCCTGAGCAGCCAGGAATGAGCCGAGTCTCCAGGACGGTCCAGAGTGAGGTGAAGGGCCTGGGGGGCAGCTGGCCAGCTGGTGGGGAAGCCCAGAGGTCAGAGCAGGAAGCCAGAAGGTGGGTGTGCCTGCAAGTCACTATGGTTGGGCCAAGTTTGGGGCTGCTAGAGAAAGCATGCCCCGCGGTGTACTGAGCAGCAGCTGCCTCAGCTCCCCTGTGCCCTTCCAGGCAGTGCTGGTGTTCTGTTTCTCCAGAGGAGGCAACTGAGGCGTGAAGGTGGGGGTGGCGGTCGGGGAGGGAGCTGGATTCAAACTCAGTTCCACCAGGTCCTGAGCCTGGTTCAGCCCGCAAAGCCAGCAGCCAGCTGTGTCTTTAGGTCCTATTTTCCCAGCATGACGCCTGGAATACGGTTCTGGGGACATGGACCATGAAGGTTGCTGTGGGTTTTGCTCTGAGACCTGAATGAGCTTGCGGGCATTGAGATGTCCCGAGATGGGGGTGAGGGTGACAGATGAGGAGTGTTTCTCAAAGTCACTTGCCCAGGAAACCGTTCCTTCCTTTAGGCAGGGAAAGTGACCCTTCTTGGGGACAGCCCAAGCCCCTGCCCATGGGTACCACACAGTCCCTGGAGACTTCCAACCGCTGAGGGATGAGGCCAGGGTCCTGTCCTACGCCTCCCCACCTGCCCTTACCCAGGGAGGCCAGCAGGAGTGCGGGAGACTTTGGACCCTGCTCCAGCAGCAGCCTCTGTAGTTGGAAACTAGAGCCTGAGGGAGTGGAAGGGGCCACCTTGATGTGGGCAAGGAGAAGGGGGCAGGAGAAGCCGGGCCCTATGGAGTCCTGACACTCAGCTGCGAAACCCCAGGGACTCCCAGTGCTGCTACATTCCTGCCCTGGGGCCTGTGTCCTGGCCTCTGGGCCATTCTTCCTGCTGCCCCCGCTTGGCTGGATGCCACTCATGGTTGTGCAACCAACCCCTCCCCACAGCCGTACACCCCACACCCTTCTGCGATGTCAGGCATGGGCTCGCTTTTCAGAAGGCCCTGAGCAAATACCTGCAGATGAAGCGGTCCCCCCCACCCCTGTCCCCCAGCAGGACCAGAGTCCAGGTGGAGGACTTCCAGGGGTCCATCTTGTCCCCCCACCCCTAGAATGGGCAGGTCGGGTCCTGTCTCTCTGTTTCCATTTCTGCACCGGTGAAGCTGGGGTGACCTCCCCCAACAGGGCCAGGCTCATGTCTGCCCTGTGGGTGATGAGATATCAGGGAGCAGCAGACACGACACCTACAGGTGCCGATGGGAGGCCCAAGGCTCAGGGCCTGGGGGTTCTCTGGACACTCCTAACAGCCCACAGTCCCCTGCGGCTCCTCTGGGAAGCCCCTGGAAGGTGGAGGGTCAGCCTCTGTCAGCAACTCACAGCTCTCCCCGCCTGGCTGGCTTACACCCCCCCTGGACACTGGCTCTTAACGCCCCTTGGTGGGGAGGGCGGCGATGCTATCTGCTGCCCGTACAGTTAATGGGGCAGCCACAGGTCCTGCTCCGACTGGCCCCAGCCCGGCTGGTCCAGCTTCGGGGAGCCGGGCGCAGGCAGGAACTGCCTTCCCTGGGGCTATTCCTGAGCGGGCCAATTCCCAGGGAGAGAAGTGATTAGCTGGGTCCAAGGGTCCCCTAGGAGCCCCTCCCTCCCTGCCCCCACCCCAGCCTGTGGGAAAGGCCAGGTCCAGCCTGGTCGTGCTGGGAGGGAGGCAGCGAGCTGTGAAGGCCACCCGATGCCTATCATGACTGCAGGGGCTGGCAGGGGCCCAGTGGAGGCCATGCTGGGCAAGCAGCCCTGGGCCACAGAATGTGGGGAGCACCTTTCCACTGCGGTGGGAGCAGCCTCCAGCATGGATCTGACACGAGGGCTGCCCTGCCAGGCACAGGGGCTGGAGGCATGCCTGGAGGCCCTGCCCACCACCAATGTGCTGACACGCTGGTCTGACCCGCACCTGCTTCTCCTTGCTCGGCCCCTCCCGATGGAAAGCCCCCACTCTATCTCCAGACTCTGCCCCTCCAGGGAGGGCCCAGTCAACAGGGCAGGTCAGGGTCTGAAGGCGGACACCCGGCAGGCGGCCCAGGACACTGCCTGCCCAGATGCCCATGGCTGGTCCATCTGCACGGGGGAAGGTGTTCCGATGGTGAGAGTGCAGCAGCGAGGGAAAGAGGAGGCTCGGACAGGGTGTGTGACGGTGGCTTCTCTTTTAATGTCCACAGCCGTGAGCAACAAAAAGCCGAGACTCTGCTGTCCCTGTGTGGCCCCAGAGACAGGCCACGGCCGTGGTGGGTGGGGGCTGTTCACGGGCATGCTGGGCAGGCTCCAGGTGTCTGTCAGCCCCTGGGGCTGAGGCAGGCAGGGGGCAGGTGCTGTGCATGGGATTGGGGCAGGGCCTCTGTCTGTTACGGACAGAGGGGGCAGCGGGAGCTGTGGTCAGACCTCGGCACGTGGGGGGCTCTGCAGGCCAGAGGCAGCCTCGGGAGGCCAGGAGCCCCCGGCCCTGCCACGGGGGCCCCAGCTACTGCCAGGAATGACAGGGTCATCTGGGGCTTGGAGGGGGAGCCCCGGGGGAGGGACACTGGAGTCAGCCTCGCACTTGGTGGTCTGGCCAGAGAAAGGCTCAGCCACTGTGGGGCCCAGCATTCTGGGTGGCTCGGGGGTTCCCTGGGCCAATATAGAACCCAGCTCTGGTTGCCCCCAGGACCCTGAGGACACCTCGGGCACCTTGGAGGGCGTCCGTTTCACAGAGAGGTCGAGTGGCACGTCTGGGGGGCGCACGGCCTGCTCTAGCACCTGGTGGATGGTGAGCAGCTCCCTGCGGATCTTGCCCAGTTGCTCCCGCAGAGGCCGTGGGGCCAGGCCCCTGGCAGGTGCCAACTGCCCCAGGCGCTGCTCCACCCTCGCATAGTCGCCGAGAGCCCGGGTCAGGTCCTCACACACATGCCCGGGGCCCCCCAGCACCAGGCCCGGTGGCTGCTGGGGCAGGGGGGAAACAGGGCCCAGGATCTCGGGGTCGCCTGGCTCCTTGTCCTCAGGCCAGAGAATCACGGAGGGGCCATGCCGCAGGCTAGGGAGTAGGAGCCGGTCAGAAGGCTGTGCTGCCCCCCAGGTCCCCAGCCTCTGCCCCACTCTCTCGCGTGCCCCCTGTGCAGCCTGTCTCCCTGGCCTAGAGACCCGGGGCCCCGGAAGGACAGACAGACTGGCTCTCTGGTCTCAGTTTCCTCCCTGTGGCCTGAAGCACATATTCCTGGACACTAAGTCAGAACAGAGGCTCAGCCCTCCTCCCCCAACCTCAACCCACCCCCCAACATGACTGGGGAACCCTGACACCTACCTGCTCTGGGAACCAAAGTTGGCCAAGCTGGAGGGAGCCTTCGGGGGCTCCAGCCTGCTTCCTGGGGGCAGCTTCCTCTTGGGGTCACTCTGGGCAGCCAGCTCCAGCCCTCCCTCCTGCCCTGGGTCCCTGGGGGCACCACAGGGCCAGGGCCCACCCAGCCCAGGTACCGGCACTTTTAACAGCCCAGGGGCCAGAGTCCCAGGGGGTCCCTTGGGAGGAGCAGGGGGCTTGGCAGGGGCAGCAGCCTTGCCTGCCTGCAGCCCCAGGCTGTGCTCCAGGAGCAGAGGGTAGTATAGGCGGGGGATAGGGGTGGGGCGCTCTAGGGGCTGCAGGGCGGAGAAGGCAGAGGCTGGGGGAAGCAGGGGGCTGGCCGAGCCCAGGAAGGGCATATGGGCTGCCGTGGCCAGGGAGGGCCCCAGGTAGGAAAAGAGGCTGGGGCCAAGGGGGTAGTTGACTCCCAGCAGGGACAGCTGGAGGCTCTGGGCCTCAGGGCACTCGCTGGAGGTGGGCGGAGGGTAGCAGGGGACGCTGCTCTCAGGGCCCACTGCAGCTGAGTCTGCCACAGCCATGCTCCTGGGGCCCCTGCCCAGCCCTGGCTTCCATGACTCGGCCAGGAGCCCTCCCAGGCCCACACCCTTCTGGGCATCCTTGGCTGCAGGGGGTGGTGTCCCTGGGGACCCCTCAGCCTCTGGCTTGGGGCCCCCGACACAGCGGTGCAGGGAGAGAAGGTCAGTGACAACGAGGTCGGGCGTGGCGGGAGCATCTGGGAGCCGAGCCCCTCGGGGTCGCCTGCCCGGTTCTGTGGGGTCAGAGGGGCAGTCTGTAGCGGGCTCCAGGGGCCGGGGTGTGGCAGGGGCCCGGCGGCATGCCCAGTCGGGGGAGTCCAGCAGCAGCGAGAGGGAGTCCTTGCAGAGGCTGTACTTCATGTGGTTGTACAGGTGTGACTTCTCCAGGCAGGTGAACGGGCACTGGAAGCACTTGTAATTGTAGGGCTTCCCCCAGGGCCGCGGGATGTAGTGGGGCTTCTTGGGCTTCCGTGCCCGTGCCCGCGCCCCGGAGCCCAGGCGGCATGAGCCCGCCACCTCTCGGGACATGGCAGCCTGCTAGTGGACCGGCCACGGCACCATGGCCACCTGCAGACAAGGGGGCCCTGGTCAGTGCCTCTGTCAGCTCCCAGAGCTCCAGGGGTAGAAGCCGGGTGTGGCATTGCCTCCTCCCGGAGCCTGGGCTTCCCTGGCCTTTCCACATGTAGTTCGGACCTAGAACACCCTCCCCACCTCCCCCTTCAGTCCCTCTCCACCCACACTTCTACAGCCACCAGGTGTAGATGATAAAAATGCAGGTATCCAGCCCTGGCCGGTGGGGCCCAGTGGCTAGAGCGTCGGCCCACACAGAAGGGTTTCGGGTTCGATTCCTGGTCAAGAGCACCTACCTGGGTTGCAGGTTCCATCTCTGCCTGGTTGGGGCGTGTGTGGGAGGCAACCAATCGATGTGTGTCTCTTACATGGATGTTTCTCTCTCTCTCTCTACCTCCTTCCCTCCCTCCCTTCCACTCTCTCTAAAAATCTATGAAAAAAAGATCCTTGGGTGTAGATTAATAAAACAAAACAAACAAAAGAACAAAAACAAATGCAGGATGCTCAGTTACATCTGACTCAAATAAATGACAAATACTTTTTTTTAACGTATAATCTAGCCAATATTTGGGACATACCATAAAAAGTATTTGTCGTTTACCTGAAATTTAAGTTTAACTAGATATCTTGTATTTTATCTCTGCCTCGGGCCCAGCTAGCCCCCAGCAGGCCCAGTTCTGGGGTAATTCCATCCAGACCTGTTTCTGTTTACCCAACGGGCATTGGTGAGTGACTGGAAGAAGCTGAGTGTGACCAGGCCTGGTCCTGGGGGACATCAGCTCTTCCTTGTCTTGCTCCCCTGCAAAGACCCCCTGCTGGTGCCAGGAAGCGGAGATAAAAGCCACTGAGAGGAGAAGCCGGCAGAAGGCTCGGAGCCTCTGTGCGCACACGCATGAGTGTGTGCTCCTCCTGGGTACTCGAGCTTTCTGAGGGGGTCAGCCTCACGTGGGGTGGGCCAGGCTGGGGGGCGTGGACGTCACAGCATGGCCCCCCAGCACAGCCACCTGCTCAGCCTGGCTCCATCTGGGTGGCTTCGGGCAGGTCAGCAGCCGAGCCTGCAGTTGCCGAGCTCGGCCAAGACCTCTTCCTCTTCCCATGCCCTGCATGTTCACTCAGAGCCGTTCTGCACTCCATCTGGGCCACCACCTGGGCTGTCCACCTCCCCGGTGTGTGCCTGCGTGGGGCGCCAGGAGAGTGTGTGCACACTCACGTCTGAGGCTCTAGTTGAACTCTCACTCAGTGCCTGGAGGGACAACCCCTGCACCGCTGGGCTGAGTCGGAATAGAGGGACCTCCAAAATTCATGGGGTCCGGCACCAGCACACACAAGACTCACACCACACCCCGTGTGGACATGGTAACTGCATATGAATGCACTCACAGCGCAGGCGGGGTGCGAGCAGACACTCAGACACATTCAGGTGCAATGTGCCCACACATACATGCACACTACACACACGGTCAGACACTCTCATGGATGCAGACGGACACACTCATCCTGCTCCCCAGGGCTCAGGGATGGCCAGTGGGTAAGCAGGGGGCTGGGGCAGCCAGGCAGCCACGGAGAGCAGGTTTTCTCCCGCTGGCCTGCGGGCTCTGCACATGGCAGGCAGTCATGTCTGCCGCTCTCAAACACTGGGTGGGCACCCCCGTGATGGGGACAGCCAGAGCGGTAGAGAAGGCTGTCCATGCGAAGAGGCCTTGGAGAGGGGGTTAGCACGGTCAAGGCCAGGACGTGGAAGGTAGGGTAAGCAGCGATTAGGGGAGCAGTTTGTGGATGTCTACATCTGGGAGGGGATGGGGCTCCAAGAGGGGTGAGGGATTGGGAGGAGGGGGCTGGGACCAGGAAAGGGCTCGGGGCTCCCCGAAAGGCTGCAGACTGCCCTGGACTTAGTGGTGGGTGTAGAGGCAGGCCCCAGCCCCCAGCCCCCCAAGATACAGATGACAAATGGGCATGTATGCTGGGGAGACAGAGACGGCTGTGCTGGGGCCATCGATCACCCAGCCCTGGGAGCCACACAGCTGTGCTGCCTGGTGCCACCGCCCACCTCACCTCCCAGCCCAGTCCCTGGACTCGGCGGTGGGGGGTGGGGGTACCCTCCTGGGCCCCAGGACTCAGGAGGAGCGAGTGGGGGGCTTGTCCAGGAACCATCTCCGCAGCTGCTGGCCGCACAGGGACCCAGAGGATGCCTGACACCCACCTGGCATGCTGTGCACAAGCATGAGACACCCCCAGACACCAGCACGCACCCGCATACATCCAAAGGCACATTCATTTGCACACGTGTCCCAACCCGTGACAGGGTGCAGGCCCCTCTGGAGCGCCTGCACCCACATTGTGCCAGCCCAGACCCCCGGATCCCACTAACCTTTTCTTGTCTGGGGAGAACTGGGGCAGCCAGAGCAGGAGCCCCATCCCCAGGAGGGGAGAAGAAGGGACACCCGGAGCAGCCACTAGCCACCAAAGGATTACAGCTCACCCATCCCGCTGGCCCCTTTGGGACTCGGATCCCGCTGGCCCCTTTGGGACTCGGGGGCACCCCACAAGGTGTAGGGAGGAGGGGGTGACCCCAACTCCCTCCCCCTTGCCCTCCCCAGCCTCGCCCTGGAGGGCGCCCTCGTATAGGGATGGGGCTGCTTCCCTCAGTTATCCGGGTACACGGAGCCTGGAAGTGGGGAAAGTAGTGTCTGGGATACTCCCGAGTCCCCCCGCCACACACACCCCGCCCCCCTCCACGCGGCCCCTGAACTTGGCCAGCTGCGCTGAAGCTCGCGCCCACCCTACCTGCGCCCTGGCCGGAGCAGAGCCCGCGGCGCCCCGAGAAGTCTGCGCGTCGCCCCCAGGATCAGGCAGAAACTTCTCGCTCCTTCCCCACCCGGCGCCCTCTTCTCCCCAACCCACGCGAAACCGGCTCAGGCTCTGGGGCAGCGACACGGACTCCCGCGGGGGAAACTGAGGCCCGATGCTGGGAGCGCCCCCCGCCCCTCCGCGCGGGTCTGCAGTCACTCACTTGGCAGCGAGTCCCCGAAGCCTCCGCCACCGACCGAGCACCCCGACGCCGACTCGCACCCACTGAAGTTGGCGGCAGGAGCGGCCGCGCGTGCGCCGCCGCGCTGGGCTCCGGGGGGCGCTGCGACCTCCAACACCGGCTAGCGGGGGCGGGGGAGAGCGGCCGCAGGTTGCGGTCTCCCCTCGGCCACCCCAGGTGACCCGCTGTCCCCCAGCCCCCGTCTCTCCTCCTCCTCCCGCGCACAGTCACCCCCTCGCGCGCACTCACCAGCCTGGCGCGCCCAGGACCTGACCAGCTCGCCCCGCAGCGCGCAGCGCCGGGAACTCCTGGATGGAGCGGTGGCCGGTGACACCAGTGGCACCACCAGGGACAGGCAGCGTCGCGGAGGAGCCAGGAGAGTGGAGGCGCAGGTGTACAGACGAATGCGGGGCGCCTGGCACCGTCCCCGCCCCCCGTCGCCTGCAGGCTGCCGCGGGGGTGCGCGCAGAGGCGGCCAGGTCTCCCGGGGTCCCCGCAGCGGTGTGATGGGGTGTCAGCGGCCGAGGGCACATGGAGAGGGGCCGTCAGCACTCATCCGTCAGGGCAGGGCTCTGGCCCCTGACAGCTGCCTGCCTGAGCCAGGGCCTAAGGGCCAAGCATCCGTCAGGGCAGGGCTCTGGGGAACAGAGCCAGCCTGGGCTGAGCCAGGGCCTAGGGGCCAAGCCCCAGGACAGGGGGTGCTGTGGGGAACAGAGCCAGCCTGGGGGGGGGGTGTGTGCTGCAGCCCAGCCCAGAGGGGACAGAGCCTAGTCCTAGGAGGGCTGGAGCACAGAGCTGAGTGGCACAGCCCAATGAGGGGACAGTGGAACAAGAATCCTTTTCTGGCCAGCTCTGCCTGCCCAAGCCATGCCTCCAGTGCTGTTTCCTCTTCTCCAAACAGGAGGCTGAATGGATCTGCACCCCAAACCCTTGCCCTTCCCACTGACCCATACATTCACTCCCCACTTCCTGAAAGCATTACCACCTCCTCCAGTCCCAGCCCAGACTCCTCACTCCCCTGGCAGGTGCCCCAGGGAGATTGTACAGCCCTCCGCCGTCTGTCTGCACTCCTCTCCACTGCTGGAGGGCCTGCGGGGGGGCGGCCAGAGAGAGGCTTGTATATCCACAGACCCACCATGCTCCCCGCTAATGTCCCCATGGCCGGAACTGCTCCCAGCCCCACCAGGGTATACCAGCTTCCACATTATTCCCCAAGATACCAAATCTTAAGTCTGGGGTCCCACTGCTTCTCAGCTGGGTCCTCATGGAAATTCATCTGGCCAGCCAGTTCCATCTGGACACAGACGCAGACAAGCCAGGACAGAGCCAGGCCATGTTTCTCCCAGCAAATCTGCCTCATTCAGGAGAAAATACCGGAGATGTGTGATGGTGCCATTCAGGCAGGGTATGGGATCCGCCGCCAAAGGGGGGAGTGCTGCTCCAGGCGGGCTCCGTGGAGGCAAGAGGGCCCCATGAGAGTTCACTTGGCTCTCCCTGTAGGCTCAGCTACAGGTTTCCTGGAGTGTCCCCAGCTCAGTTTGGGGGACAGGAGTATGTAGGGGAAGGAAGGAGTACCCTCTAGGGGCCTCTGGGTGTCCCATCTCGAATGGGGAAAAGAGAACTGGAGAGAACCGGACCCAGAGTTTAGCATGTCTTGGGCCCTGTGAGCCAGGCCTCGGTTTCCCAATTTGTGCAGGAGGGGGACAGGCCATGGCCCAGTTATTGGCACAGGTGTCCTTCTTCAACCAACACGTGTTCATAAGGAACAGGGTCCCGAGGTTCTGGGGGCAGCCAGTGTGAAGACACTGATGTGAGGGTGAGTGTGCAGTCCGGTCTCCCTTCTGCTCCAACGCCACCTCCCCTGATGCCACTTGGGGTGCTCCATTTCTCCCCATCAAGTCCACGGAGTAGGAAGGGCTGCAGTGGGTGG